TCTTCCTCATTGTTTTTATACTTTCAAAAATACGCGGCTAGGAAAGACCCTGTGGCAGCCAGAGGATGTGGTGCGCACAGACGAGCTGCAGGCAGGCTGACGGGGTGTCCTCAGCGCATCTGCAGCCTCCCACAAGATTTGCATTTGACATCCATCTCCCCATTGTTAAGACATCTTTATCTCAGTTTTCAGGAAACGTCAGATGACTCATCTATCGGAACATCTGACGAACTTAATGTAATTTCAAAAATTAATCTTACTTAGGTGCATTTTTCCAAGCAAAAAATGAAGAAAAATGTTTTAAAATTGTGGTAAAAATCTAATTTCTGTTGTAAACTGGTTTCCTGATTTAGGAACTCAAGAGCTTATTTTTGCTGTAGACAGTTTTAATAGGCTTTTAGGCGTCCAAATTTAGGAAAAAAATCCTGCGGCATTTAAACAACGCAGAGCCAGAGCTGGAGCTGACTCAGCCACTCAAGCGCACAATTTGAATATACTACATAATCATCCTTGTTTTAAAATTATCCTCCTAATATCTAAGGGCTAGATTATCCCACACGCATTTATCTTGATTAATGCACTACCCTAAGGACAGCCTTGCAGATTTCATTAGGACTAATTATGAAGCAGGGTATTCAACAGGGGAATGATAAAAATCTTGCTCTGATTGACATGGCCCTGACCTCTTCCTTGCACTACCTCATCGAGGTCACAGAAATGTAAGTGTCTTCCTCCTTCTCCCCCACACTTCTAATTAACACGTAACAACTGCTGTTTGTTACCAACTCAGAATCAAGAAAGAACCCGTAAGGTGCACACACAGGACATGTTTCCCAACAAACGACACATGTCCAGAGATCAACGCTGCAGTGCCACAGCTCCACAAGCAGCCCCTGCAAATGCCGACATGGTACCTGTGGGCGGCATCACAACATGGAGGAGAGATTTGCAGGAGTAGATGCCCCTCTGTTTTTGCTCTAGACCTACATATACAGTTTTTGCTTTCATTTCACTGGGGGCGGTGGGGGGGAAGTATTGCGCCCAAGCTGAAAGTTCCACTTCTGAAATCTATTTTTACCTCCTATAAGCAGGCCCAGATGAGTCGTACTTGCTTGCGGCTGGCTGTGAGCTCCGTGCGCTCCGTCCCTGCACAACATCCGCGGAGGACACCTGGGACGGAGGCCAAAGTCTGCCGGGCAGAGCTGAAGGGTACTGCCATTTCACGGGGTCCCCTCAGAAAGTATTTGCTTTGCCTGTTTATGTTCTAAATATAGCAGAGCACACCGGCCATCTCCAGCTCACAAGCAAGTGTTGCTACCAGGGGCTGCAGCTCTCTGCAGCACTAACACACACCTGCCTGATGTCAGCCAACGTAAAGCTTTTTTTCCTAAGGCACACTAATTCCTAGGAGTGCTGTGAGTGAAAGATGCATTCACAGTTTGTAAAGAAAAATTCAGTGACTAACTATCTGTGTTGTGTTCAAGAGACGATGCAAGAATAGCTGTTTAGTTAATACCAGTATTATATACCTTTATAAGAAATCAAGTATTTTAATATTAAGGTCAATTTTTAGGTGTACTGCTATTTTATTAAAGAGCGAGGATGTTACATCCACCCTGAATTACTGAAATATTAAAAATTACTTTTGAGAGTCCTAATAAAAAAATCTTTTTTTTTCTTCAGTAAACTATTAACTGACCTTACAGAGTCTAGACAAATCTGATATACCATTTCCCTAAATTTTTTTTGCAGAACACCTCAAGTTTGTGATATCGCAGGAAATGTAACAAAGTAACCAGCGCTTGTTTAGCTTATAACACACAAAAATTGACAAAGATGTGTAACAAAACCAAAACTGAGTAACTGCTTTTGTACCATGGGGATTGGACACAGGGAATTCAGTTAAGGGATATTCCATTTTCTGCTTACCAAAGGTATTTTCATACATTATAGAAGCTATTTAACTGGAAAAAAAAAAAAAAGGCTCTCAGGAGCAAGCAGCTCTCTTTGCTCTGGCGGCGGCAGCAACGCGACCCGGCCCTGCTCCCCAGGCTACAGCAAGGGGATCCACCGGATCCCCTGGGAGCCTCTCCAGCACACAGCACATGGAGGAAGCACCCCAGCCACAAGGAAACCTTTTAGCACCAACGCACAAGTAAACACATCTGGTAAGCAGTATATTTTTTAAATAATAGATTCCTTCCCAGCTTACAACTCGGCTACTGCATTGACTTTGCGTGGGCAACAGAAGACTCTTTGACAGGGTATTTTGAAGCAATGTAATAATGCTGCAATGTTACCTACAGTTGTTAGCACGGACCTTGCAGCTCTTTACAAAGGTGATAATTATCTCCTTCATTAAAAAAGGAAACAAAGAGCCCCGCTGACAGCAACAGAAGAGCATGCAGTGCCATGGGGGACGGGGAAGCCTGGCCAGTCCCCGGTTTGTCTCTCATCCAGACACAAGCCCACGCTGCCGCTCCAGCACCGCTGGCCTCCTCTCCCAGCACCAAGATTTTAAGGCACTTCCAGTGACCACGGACGTCAGACATCTGAGCGGAGGATGCTGATGTACAGTGAACTCAGGCGATGCCTCCCATAGTGAAAAAGATTCATGTGCAATTAACTCTGGCATCTTGTTTCAACCTTTTCGGTTGGATCCTCTCTCTGGAAAGCGCAAGGCCAGCAGAGTGAGGCCGCTGTGACCGCAGCGCACCGTGCGATCAAGTCCCAGTTCAGTGGGAAATTAAGCTGCGGGATACTGCGGGTACTGTTTCACCAGCAAACACATCCTCACTCTCACACCCTCTCACGCAGGGGCAGGTTCACGTCTCCGCGGCCAGGCCCGTGTCTCCGGCAGGTACGCTGCCGTGGGCGCG